TATTGCGATCTATTGAGGCCAAGCCCTTAATTAACTTGGGAATTCGTTTGCTATATCTTCATTTTACTCACAAATTGACGTTTGCAAAAGCATTCACCAGAAACCCCCACCTTACCGATCTTGTAAGAGTGTTCAAAAACCCAGAAAGCATTGCAGCAGGAGCGGGGAGTTTCCTGGGCAACATGTACAGCTACACAGTAAGGACTGAACCCTCGATAAACCGCCTGAGGTACATTAATTATAAGAAGGCTGCTTTTAAGACCTCATGACAGTTTCAAAAGTCATATTTGAAGTATCATTACTTAGCAACTTTAAAGCACGTGTGTTTTAAAGGCTTTTTTTCGCACGCATTTGAGTGCTTAAAACGGAGATTGTAATTCAGGTATAATAAAAAAAAATTTGCTAGGGTAAGTAAATTGAACACATCAATAATCATAGCATTGGAAAGCCTCGAGGCAAATAATTGCAATTTTACACTTGCTTACTAGAAAAAAGCTCACTTTGTCTCATAATCACAACAATAATGGTTAACAATTCGCACAAATACAAATGAGACTAGAATTAACAACTAACGAAGTTGGAAATTTGGATATTAATGCTTGTTTCGGTTATACAACACCTAATAATTGTTTTAAGTGGCTGTGCGTGTTGAGACTTGTTTTGTTCGATTTAACAAAGGAATTTTTTTCTAACGATTAATTGGAAACGAACAATATTGCTCCTTTTACGGGGCTTACCTCATTCACTGTCAGCATTTCAATTACAATTTACACGCGTTTGGCGGTAAAGGAGTATACTTTGTTTGCGTTCAGATTTACGAAGACATTTATTAGTAAGATACACAAGCAGTCGCCTCGCAAAATTAAACGCATTAATCGAAACGGCGTCCCGTAAAAATTAATTAAAAATAGAAGTTTGGGAAAATTTACATTGACACGTAAAACCAGAATTCGAAACAGGCGCGTTTTAAATTAGTACACCTGGGAGCTTATTGCTAACTTTTCCGTGGTTTAATTGCTTTTTTTCTCGTTTCTAAGAGCCACGAGTGCGTTCTTTCTGTTCCCGTCGTTCTTGCGCTAATTTGTACTTATCCTCTAATCTACAAAATACGTATCCGTAGCTCCATGAGGATCTCAAAAGATAGTCACTTCAATTTCAGAAGGGTCATTCAAAATCACCTCCTCCCCGTTCTGTCATAAGGTTCTCAATCAGTTATAAAGTATTGCACTAAATACAGTGTTTCAAAAAAAATTCTACCCCCTAAATCACTTCCCCGGAAATTAAAAATTGGCCACTCCAAGTTTGTACTACATCAGTCTTACATTTTCTCGTATTTTGTATCTAAAGTTGTGTTTTGAGACGCAATGGACTTCAACTCTTTTGAATATGAAAGTGAAGCAGACAAGAATGGGCTACTTTTATGGCAGAGCCAGAAGAACTTTCCTGTAGAAGGGCAAATTTTGAACTTTAATCCCAAAT